AGCGTTCGCTTGCGGCATGATTGGACGAGTTGGAATAAGGTCACTTAAGTGGCCCTTGAGGAAGTGCGACCAGTTGGGCACGGGCGTGGGCTCGAGTGCGTTTGCGACTGGTTCACAGGATTAAGGTCATCGCGTGGGTACAGTCACCAGCGAAGGCATATAACCTTAAATGCAATCCGCATTGACAAAGAAATCCTTGTCGCAGTCGGCAGCAGGCACGACGCTTCAGGAGAGCCTGCAAAGTTAGTGACATTCAGTAAGGCTAAATTCCTAACAACACTATCCTTCGAGTCTTCCAATAGTCTTTTGCTAAGAAAAGCTCAACTATGAGCATTCCCATTACTACATTTCCCGTTCCGACACTCTGTAAGTTGTTTTTTTACTTAAGACCTATAGAAATTATCGGCGTGTTTAACTTTCGGAATCTTCAGTACTGGGAGTCCAGCTGGAGTGCATGCCTTCATTTATTTTCTGGTTTTCCAATACCGCTTACGGGAGCTATTGAAACCGCTGGATGCCGAAAAAGGTTTTGTGCATCCTGTGGCTGTGCGTTTGGTAACGATGACTTATATGGCCCCAGTAACAGGACACGCGGATAGTAACCATCTGCACTACAGATGTTTTTTGCCCCAAACTTCGGGTTATTTTTATCCTTATGAATAAAAGGTTTGTTAGAATTCCGTTCGGATTTAGGTTTGAATTAGTTTTAAGTGCCGGTTGTGTTAGCTAGTGTTAAGGCAAGCAAGCGGAAATACTTACGCGTTCATTAAATTAAGCCTGGGGCCACCTTTCGTACTTGGACGGGACGGTACTACACCCAAATCCTGTTTAGATGGCTGCAGAAGTCATCCTTAACGTCCCTTCTGTAAAAGTATAGCTGCTGGAAGGGAGCTCTCAAGGGGTGTGATCTCATTAAGCTTTTAAATCAATAAATAAATTGTATATTTAAGCCCAAGGGGCTCTTTCATTACAAACTTAGTGCTATCGTGAAAATAAATAAAAATTGGTAATCAGAGCTGCGCGTAAGCAGCTTATGATAACAGGAATTAGTAGTATGTTACGCGTGGTAAGATGGTAAGTTAGATCCGATTAACAACGAACTCGCTTATAAAATAATTTTCTGGGCAGTAAAAAAACTA